CTGATAATTCCTGAATAGCTTCTATTGCCTTGAAGAATAGTGTCCAGTTAGGAATTTTATGATTAGATCACCCTTTGAGGTTACTTTTGGTTACCGAACTTGTCATACATCCTTTTTTGTCCACACTTGTCCTCCAGTTTTCAGTAACGCATTCCTCATTTCCGGCTGAGACCTCATCAGAATAACTTTATTGTCAGTATTTCTACCAACTTTCTGTTCAAGATTACTTATGTATTCTCTAAGACAATGGAGGCTTTCTCCATTGTTCTCCTATTCTGAGCTCTCACCAGAATCACCTTTAAAGGGTTGCTTATGGCAACGTAGGCATTTTCTAGCATGCATCTTAAAATTTTTCTGTTCTCTTCCCATTACCCAGTTCCAAAGCCCCACCCACATTTTTAGTATTTGTTACAGTAGCACCTCACTCCTGGTACCAATTTCTGTCTTAGTTCACTTGGGCTGCTATAACAAAAATACCATAGAATGGGTGGCTTAAACAGCAAACATTTATTTCTCACAGTCCTTGAGGCTGGGAAGTCCAAGATCAAGGTGCCGGCAGAGTCAGTGTCTTGTAAGAGCCCGCTACTTAGTTCATAGATGGCTGCCTGCTCACTGAATCCTCAGTGATGGAAAGAGAGTAAGAGAATGCTCTTGGGGTCTCTTTTAGGAGGGCACTTATCCCATGCATGAGGGCTCCACCCTCCTGACTTAAGCACTTCCCAAAGACCCCCACTTGCTAATACTATCACATTGGGGATTAGTATTTCAACAGATGTATGGGGGTTAGGCGGGGGGAGGCACAAACATCCAGTTTATATCAGCCTCCTTGCCAATACTGACTTGGTATTGTCAGTATTTTTAATTTTAGACATTCTAATAGGTGTGTGGTGGCATTATATTGTGATTTTAATTTCCATCTGGTATAATTTTCCTTTTGCCAGAATAACTTTCTCATTATAATTTTCCTTTTGCCGGAATAACTTTCTCGTTGTGTACATCTGCTGGTGAAGTATTCTCATGGCTTCTGTTTGGCTAAAAGGTTTTTATTCTGTCCTTAGTTTTAAAAGATGGGGAAAGAAACTTGGGGTCTTGGTTCCTCTTCTCTGCTCCTCACTGAGCAGAGTTCCTATGCAATTTGCCATGTAGCAGGTAGAGATGAGTTAAGAGGGTTGTACAAAGCCTTGGCTCCACTACCACTCCACATGCGACCCTTAGAGGTCTCTTAGGGAATCTGATTGGACAGTCCCGATTTCTTTGATCCCTGTCCTAAGGAATGTAAGGTGAGAGATCTATGTGGATTTGCAAGTGGGAAAGGGTGGGAGAAAAGAAAAGTGTGGAGTTGTGGGTGGTAGGGTGAGCGTATTCATGAAACAATGGTAACCTTCATTGTCTGCGTTCTCTGGGTGGTTCTAGGACTGTGGATAATGCAATTATTCTCTAACCCTTTTGTTGTTTGGAAGTTCTCCTTGAAGTCTAACTGGTGGTCAGACTGTCATTGTCTAGAGTTGGGGAATGAGTGTCATTTCATGACTATAAAATAACATTCAGAGAGTTGGAAACCAATTACTTGGTCCTCTCCACCAGAACCTCAGCCTCCTTTATTTGACTCCAACTAGCAACTTTATTCGCTTGAACATCTGAAATACCAGAGGGGAAATGGAGGAGAGTAGATGAGAACATGGTAGTAGGTACCCTAAACCTTATTATAGACACTACTCCTGGTGCTGGCCCTGGGTTCCCCATGCCCTGGGGAGGAATACATTCAGGTGTTAGAGCTGCAGATGGGAGCTGAGAATTAGCAAAACAGCAGAGAGAGCCCAACCTTATCAATCCCTGGCCCCTAATAGGGCAACATGTACCGCATATGAGCTGATTAGATTGATCTTCCTGCCCCATCATGGCATGGGAGAATATGCAGGGCAGTGGCTCACGTCCTAGTTACTAACCCAAAAGCTCCCGAAGTTAGGTTAAACTTTCATCAGGCTAACGTGGGTGGCCAGCTTCCAGCTGGATCTCCACTCCCTGGGGCTGCCAAGAAGCATGGGGCAGCGGGCACCAGGGAACTGCCCCTGGACAGCCAGTTGCATTTGGAGCCGTCGCTGGCGTGGGCTTTGCTTTCATGGAGGCTCACCGTTGCCTGCTTCAGCATCGCGCTCTCG